AAAAAATTTGTGTGCATTTGTTTATTATAAAATGCTAAAATTCCTGAGTCAGACTGTAAACATCGAATCTCATTCTGGAAATTATCCCAGCAGCGGTAAGAATCAAAGCTTATGAAGAAAGAGATGAGGATGAATGGGAAACCCTGCTGACAGCACTTGCTCTCACTGATGCTCTGGCTGGACACAGGGATAGGAAGCCGTGCAAGAAGGCATGGAAATTCTCAGGGAGAAGCGTGCACGTGCTCTCAATGCCTGCAAGCGGAGTAATGCGGCAGACTTTAAAGAAGCGAGGAGTTTAAGGAAACGCTTACCGGTGGTATGATGCAAAAGCATCTGCTCATTGTTTTCCATAACTAACGCACACTGTGCTTTTTCAGCATCGTCACAGGTGTGCAGCTGACTTTGACACAAAGGTGCTATACAAAACAAACCAAAAAAATCTCGATAATACAGCAACAATAAATGTTTATTTAGGTCACAATTCATGGGCTACTGCAGACAGGTGATCTGTAAGGAAGAATCATAGAATAGGGTGAATGGTTAAATTTTACAAATATGTTACAGTGAAACATGTATTGTTATTAGTCTCCCTCAAAATGCTCCCCCTTGCTTCCCACACACTCATCCCCCCTTCTCACCCTTTCTGAAGCAGTGGTGGAGGGGCTCTCTTCTTGGTGTCTCCACTTGTGCTGTGTTGGCTGTGTTGATGTCCAAATCTATGTGAAATGTTTAGCTTTCATGGTCATTGTGACTGTGGGGAAAGCCAGAAGTCGTATCCAGGGGCTGAGGTGGGCAAGAACACCCCGTGCCCTTTACAGGCTCCCTTCCCACGCGACTGCGCTTGGCAGCAGCTTTCACCACAGTTTTAATCAGACCTCGTACAGACACGAGAGGACTTCTAGAACTCCTTCAGGAAGTGGCAGGAAGGGCGGGGTAAGCGCATTTGCGGGAGATTAATGCAATGTGCTTTCATTGTAATGATTATTAAAATGTTCATATTCACCATACATTTAGATCACACCACAGAAGCTGAGCTGGGCTCTTGGCTCAGCTCCACTCCTGGTGTTCCTCATTCCCCTTCTGGACCCAGAGGACCAGGACCAGGTGTAGCCTTCTGACCAGTGGCAGAGCTACACAAGCAAAGGTTAAGATCTCAGGGCTGCATCCTGAAAGGGGAAAGTTTAGTGTTTAAGCAGCAACACCTGTGCCATGCCGGACAGCGTTTCATGTGATAAAGGCAAAAGTCAGGAGAAGTCCACAGTGTGTGGAGGTGGAGTAGGGGAGTAAATATTCCAAACCAGCCGTCTGCCTAGAAAGCATCCCTGAAAATTCTGCATTTCAGCAAAGACCCTTAGTGACCTGAGGACAGCAGCCCTCTCTGCTCCTGTGGAAGAGGAACGTTGCCCTGGGCAGCAGCGTCCCAGGAGACTCAAGCCTCACAGGCTGAGAGCAGAGAGCCCAGAACCGGGGTTGTAGGACTGTGAAGCAGAGCCCTGGGGCAGATGTAGGGCTGGTCAGCTGAGGCGGGGCTGTGTGTGGCTCCTATCACCCTAGGGGGAGTTGGCTGTGGACTCTGAGGATGAAAGGACCCAGGTGTGTTCCTGAAGGACACCACGGCGGCTGCTCTGACAGCAGAATGTAGACTGCATTGCAGAGGCCATGAAATGAGAGGGGGTGCAGTGTCTGTAAAAGTGGTGACTGAAAAAAGGATAGGTAGAGACAGGCTAGGTGTATTTAGACCACCTACAAATATTAGTTGATCACCTACTATGTGCCAGAAAATTTACATATCATACATTAGTGGTTGTTACTGGTTAGGCATGTAGAATTTGCTGATAGTTTAGTTATGGGGTGGAAAAAAGAGGTCAAAGGCATCAGCAAGGAATTTGGCTTCAGCAACGATGGTGGATGACACTGGGGAAGACTCCGGGGGTAACAGGGTTGGGAGTCAAAATCAGGGGTCTGTGTTCTCCTCTTGCTGAATTTGTGAGGCTCACTCCAGGGAAATATGTCCACTAGATAAATGATTGTGCAAGTCAACAGATCGGGGAGGGGCCTGAGGTCAAGACTGAAACTTGGGGTCCCCCACCTCTACCTGTCCTCAAAGAGCTGAGAGTGGATGAGATCATTGAGCAGAACAGGTGAGTAAGGACGAAATACGAGTGTGTCCCACACTGTAAGGCAGGGAGATGAAGAAAAACAGTACTCAGACTGAGAAGTGGGAAATGCAAAGTAAAAATTAGAAAAGAAGTGGTTCTAGAAAACGAGTAAAGAGATTGACTGTCAAAACTTCTTTTTACAATCAGACAAAACAGAATTCTCAAGATTTAGGGAGGAATCACAGTGCAGATTGCAGAGGTTTCAGGTAGCAAAGTGCAAATGTCCCGCCACTCAGTCAGCCGGCTCGCTGGTCAGAGGCCTCCTCCTTAGTCTGCTTAAAACAAAAAGCTTTTCCTTCCAACACAAGGGAAAATAAGGAATAGTAATGACCCAAAAAATACTGCACTGAAATTGTCATTTCTTAAGCTAAATGTCAACTAAAAATTGAGCAGAGGAAGAGATATACGGGAATAAGACAGCACGACTACTGTCCTAGTATCACCCAAGTTTAAAGCTCTGCTTGCTGTCTATGCACAAATTAGCTGGAATGGAAGCAGACAAGTACAGCTGAGACCCCTGAAGTGTAGAGGCCACTTTGCATGGAGAGCAGACCCTTCCAGATGGGTGTGCAGGACAGAAAAGGACTGTATGCTCGATGTCAAGGCAACAGACAAGGAGGTAGTAGGAAGAATAGGTAGGAATTCTAACCAGCAGTTTGAGGTGTTAGTCTTTCAGCTCTTTAATACCTCCCTGTCTTCTGTTACGTGGCAGGCTTTCGGGATCCATTACACATGGATGACAAGTCTAGTGATAATGGGTGGAGGTGAGCTAACCCTGAAATCTGTGACACAACTTCCAGCAAAGGTGCCAAGACACACGTGAGCAACCCAACTTGAGTAGCTGAGAAAGAACAGGCCTCGTATATGGAATTAAACCTGTTCTTCCATCTCCCTAAATCCCATTAATATGCATCATGGAAGATTACTCTACAGATAATTTGCCTAGGTCATGAAGGGTTGCTACATTTACTATCTACTTTCATCTGATGGCTCCACTGATGACAGTACAGATGAACTGTCAAATGCTTTATTGTCACCAAGAAGTATTAGCAGTGTGTCTTGGTTACTTTTCTCTCGCTGCTGGGACAAAATACCTGATGCCCAAAATTAAGGAAGGAAAGGTTTATTTCGCTTACAGTTCATGGAAGTTTCAGTCCATACTTGGCAGATTATAAGGCACAGTGGCCCATGGCAAAGAGCTGCAGCTCAGGAAGGCAGAACACAGCTAAGCAGCAACCACACCCCAGGGCGGAATGGGGGAGGAATGCCCCAAGCACTGTTTTCCTCTCCCTTACATATGCAAACTATCCACCCCAGGGGGGGGTGTAACTCTCACACCCACAATCATTTAACTCTAATAGCCTGCCCCTCAAGCCTGGCCCCTTGAGGCTTTGGGGGGACATACAGATTCAAACCATAACACAGTGCTACCTCTGAAGACAGTATTCAAACTGAAAAGCATTGAGAATTTTTTCTTTACATTTAGTACTTAGTAATTCTCTTATTGGTTGTCATCATCCTAGAAAAATATAAAAATACATGGCTATATATATTAGAGAAGCAAGTTAAGTTTTAAGGTAACTTCTTAAAGGCAGGGAAAATTTAAAGACCTCATTGAAAGCAGTTGGTCTAAATATAGTAATTTCACATCCAACTTCCTGCAACTATGCTACATTTGGCTTTGAATAAAGATAGCCCAAAGAAATTTATTGTCTTCATGAAATACGAAATAATGACTTAAAGTTAGTATCTTAGACATGTGAAAGCTATATGGCCATTGGAAATGAGTTTGAGAAATCAAGTCTATCTTGGGTGATGCTGAGCTAATATTATGGTTACTAGTGTTGCTCATGACTGATGCTTATAATACTTAATTTTTTGTCAGTGTTTCCACTAAAGATATGTCCTAAATTTATTAACAGTCATGGCAAAAATAGCTGCTGTTACTGTGATGCTATATTGTGTATGTGTGTGTGACACATACACAATATAATTTGATCCAATATAAACTGGATCTGGAATTTAATTTTGCTTGAAATGGTGGTAAATAAAGTCACTGAGAGTTTGAGTACCTTCTAATACTGGAACTTCAATTCTTTAGGTCTGCTCTGGAGCCTTCCAAGATTAACATACCAGTGTAAAACATCAGAGCTTGGACAGTGGGAGATATTCTAAAGCATAAAATATTCCTGTTTCCTGCAATATGAAGTGTTATGTGTTGAATGAAATCCACCCATATACTGCATGCTTAACACAACAGATCTCTGCTCAGTTTCTACAACAAAAGTTGTCACCCGTAAACAAAAGCATGTGACATGTCCCCAAACAGCTCATTCAATGCTCCAATTGCAATTCTGCTCACTTTGCTTATATCCACTTCAGTAAACATTTGAGTGACTGTTCATGCCAAGCCTCAGAAACCCTGGCGATGAAGTCAGAGCCTAGGGAGGGGGCCTGGCAACGAAACAAGAACTTTCAGCAACGAAAGTGCTAAGTTCGGGGCTGCACAGAGCCAGCTCTCGGTTAACGCAGAGCGCATGGGGTTGTTTACTCAGAAGGAGCCCCTGCAGGCTGGGCCGCCACTGAGGAGAGAAGCAGATCCTCTCAGATCCTGTTGCCCACTTCCAGGGTAGATTTGATGTCAGAAAAGAAGCTGACAGGTTTTAACACAAAAAGCAAGTTCTCATGTAAAGGTTGTGGAGATTTTTGTGAATAAATATGTTAAAGATGAGCGCATTGCCCCGAGCTGTTCTCAAGAAAACACACTGAAAATAAAGACATGAGTAAAGGTTAGCTGAGACCCAGCAGGAGACAACAGGGATACAGGCGCATTCTTTTCTGTAATTCTAATCAGTCTTATTTATTTCAACATAAAGTTCAAATGGTCTTTGTCATGAGGAAAAGAGCATAATGTAATGTTGTAAATACTTTCTATCTTCAATTATACTCAAAGTCAACACTCACTTTTAATACATAGAGCTATCAGGTAAATAACACTGCTGGGATTCTTTTAAATATTTATACATAAAGTAGACTAGATTACATAAAATGTGCTGAGTTAAGATAAAGAATGTGTTCTGTAGAGAACACAGAGGACGAAAAATTCCTAAACATAGATAAAAAAGGAAATGTTTTTCTTTCTTCACTTTTTTAAGAAGGAAAATTTGGGGGTACTCAATTAGTAGATATAGTCTTGATGTTGGTAGTTAGAAAAAAAGTTTTTTTTTTTATGAATGAGGTCAAATATTTTTCCACCTCCTGCCTGGAGCCCACCTTACTAAATATATCCTAATATTTATGGTAACAATTGGGAATATTTAATGTTAATAAATATTCTTACCAGCAGATGTAGACATATAAGAATTTATTTTTCAAAAATGGCTACCTAAGGGTGAAAACAAGAGCCATAGATTAAACATAGAAACAGGCTAAATAAGAATTATCATTTTCTGCATGTGGAAATTTAGTTCTACACCATGTGGAGTTGTCCAAGCTCTGCATTTAAGATTACTGAATTGTAAGGATTTCAGTACTGATCCATTTTTAACAAGATCCTTTGTAGGAGCTATTATTTCATGATATCCTTTCCAATAATGTAACTTATTTGATTTTTCAAAAGATTGTAAAAGTAGCTTTCAAGAAACATAGAACAATCAAATATGTTCTTTAAAGTCTATGTATTTACATGACAGCATGACTCCTTAGAATTACTTAGTACTGTATTTCCCTAATTCAGGTTTTCAATGGATTGATTTATGGCTTTTTAGCACTTACGTTTAATGTCTTGTCTTCTGAGAAATGGTAGAAATAGTAAACAACCTATACAGTATATCTATATCTATAGGTACCATAATTTACATTTTTAAATTAACATTTTTTAATTTCTACATTAACATTTACAAAATATTTGCTGGCACTAATAACTGAACTTTTTTGGAACATTATTAAGGTTTAAAATATGACAGTATATGTTGAAAATTCAGTTTTTTCATGTACTACTGAGAGGAAAAATGATGGGTCCAACTGAACTGTATGACAGTAACATCATCATCAGCGTTCCTGTGAATCTTGATTCCAAAGATGGAAGAAAAAATTCACTTCCAGGTCTGAAGAAGCACAGGAATAACCAAGGCAGTTGCAGCTCCCGAAGTCCACAGCAGTGACTGGTCACCCTCTGCTTCTAGCTGGGTCACACTGCCCGGTGTCACAGACATGAGCTGTGGTCCCGTGGCTAGGCTCCTGCCTGGACCACAGAGGCACTCGGCATCTGAGGGTCAGGTTCCAGAGACCTGCTCCTCACATCACCGTGTTCTTCCCTTCCCTGCATGCGTCCTGCCACACAGGAAAATGTGGAAATCACACAGGGAAGATTGTCAAAGTCAGAGCTCCTGCTGCAAAGCGCCTGCCTGGCAAGCGCAAGATCGTGAGTTTGATTCCTGGTACTGGAAGAAAAGACAAAAAAATAAAAAGTCAGAGCTCCTCATGACAGCACGAAATGGGGCTCCCTAGCCTGCAGGGAGACTAGGGGACCCAGACTGGAGTGAGAACACACCCTTCCCTGAGTCAAGCTGTGGACTTGGGCAGCCCCATCACAGTAGTTACATCCTCACTAACACAACCGCTCCAGATGCTCACCCTGTGGGCAGAAGTGTCTTATTACTGAACTTGTTCTGAAAAATGGAGGAGCAGTCTAAAAGCCAGGGGCTGTTCAACATCTTCTTAATGTGCTGCTAAGTAATGTAAGTGGGGAAATGTAAAATTCTCGTGCTCATAACTACCACTCATAGCTGCAAAACAGAACACTAAGCAGTCAGAGCACAAGCGACCTTTTCGGAAAGGAGGAGCCCCATTGCTGCCAGGACCGAACCTACTCACACCAGTAGGTGGGGAGCGAGCAAAACGATGGCAGCAAACTCAGTGCTCTCAGGCAGCTACCGTCAGGGAAGGCACTTGATAGCATGTTAATTACACAGAGAATTACAGAGAAGAGTCCCTTCAAGTTAGGAAGACACAGAGGAAGGAGAGGGACGGAAGGAGAAGGACAAAAGGAAGCAAAGTGAAGCGGGCAGGGATGAACGAGGGCAGAAGACAGGAGACGGGGAGAGGCTCTCTTGGAGAAGGGACATCTCATTCTCACATTTAGATCCTATGCATTAAATGATGGATGACTCTGCTTACCCTATGTCATAGGGTTCATTCATGAAATTCTCTTTTCTGTAGTACAGTTTAGTATCTTGTAGAACATCTAGACTTCACTGAACAGTTTTCTGTTGCAAGGAAAATAATTAAAATTATTCCAATCAACAGGAGTAGCATTTAAGCCTTATTATGAGTATCTTCCCCTCAGTACAACAGAGGCCGTAGAGAACGTTATCTGGGCCTTTTACTATTAGACCCTGCAGGAGCAGTCAGAGAGATGAGGCAGGGAAGTCTACGAAGTACTTAAAACTTTGAACCCACGGGCAGTGCAGAGTAAAATGGAAACCCACAGTTCATATTTCAACTGCAGTTTAGCATGTGTCTGTGAGTCCTATTGCTCAGTGTATGCTGGGTTGAGGGCACTCGGTTGCTAAAGCACCTGGGTTTAGTTTCTTCTGATTAATACCTTTAGTTTTCATTGCTAACACCCTTACTATCAAATGTTTCTCACTTCAGCTGTCTGGATGTCTTGGACAGTTGAAACCAAGGTTCTGAATATTCAAATTGTATAAATTAGAATAACTGAATAATGCATGAACAATCTCTCATGATTTTCTGTGAATTCCATTTAAAAGTGCAAAATATGCTAGCATCAAATGCATTGCAAATTATGCGAAAATATCGAGTGAAATGCAGTGCTTAAGATTCTGGAGTAACTTAAGTTCCGTTACGAACACCTAAATGCCCAAGAGAAGCTGGCAGGAAGGACCGTCAGGGGAGCCGGCTGATGGGGTTGTTGTGCTGGGACAGCACTAGTCATAACGTAAAAATGCGACAATAAAAGCGAGGACAACAACAACGAAGCCTAGAATTTGGTGTTTCCCTCACCAAATTTTTATCTGCTGTCCTTGCATGCTGATTGCAGTCCTGATTACTGGGGAAGCGAGGCAGGCCCTGCTCAGAGCTGGTAAAAAGCCAAGGAAAGCACGACTCACTGGCTGTTTCTTTGGAAGGCCACCCGCAGGAGCTCCACACTGCTTTTTCCTGAAAGGCGTAATTTCCAGGTTTCCTCCACAGGCTTCTCTGTCTAAATGAAGTGTGCGCCTGTCCTCTCTCCGAATGGGTAGCAGTCAGCCCTGTGGACGCTTGGCCTGAGACAGTCACAGACAGCTGGAACACACCCCTCTGCCTGGGTCTGAGCTCGCTGGCTCCCATCCTTAAGTATTTCTTCATTTCTTCCATTCTCAGGAATTCATTCCTATCTTCCACAAGAACATGAACACTAGGAAGCCTTGTAGTGATGGCTTAGCATGGTCTAAAACAACATTGGGATTATCACGGAGGTCCTATTTGATCACCTAAATTCTCTTTGGGAGGGAAAAAGCAGCAAAGGTCCCTGGTGACACTACGAGGTAAGAAGGTTGCTCCAGGAGGAACTTTCCGTGGCCCATCCGCCCTGCTCAGCGCCTTCCCCGTGTGTGGGCTCTGAGCTGAAAGAGGGGCAAAGACCAACGGAGAGGAAGGGGACTTGCACCCGCCCCGCCCCCAGCTCTCCCTGGCCGTGCAGTGGCTTCCTCTCCTCTGCTCCGCACAGGTCTGCCGAGTCCCGTCCCACCCCACCTGCTCCGGACGTCTTGCTTCAGGCTCCAGCAACCTGCGCTCTCACCTGGTCCTCAGCGGTGACCCTGGCTTGCACTCCTGGGGAAGTCTGGACTTGTCTGCTAGATTCCTGTCCACCTGCGAACGTGCTTTTCAGGGTGGAACCTGGAACACATGAACTTGTTACCATTTACTCACAGCCTTCACCCTAAATTACAGCAACCCTTTTATGCATCTCATTTTCCTCCCTTGAGAGAAACGAGAGATTTATGTATTTTTCAGTCAGAAAAAATAAAAACAGTATATATTGATCTCATCTTCTAAGTGGACAGGATAATTAGAGGTGAAAGTGCAAAAGAATCTAAGGTGTCTGCCCATAAAGCACATGCCTTAGAAAACAAACAATGAAAGCATGGTTTTTAAAGACGATTTAAGAATAGGGTCAACTTTCATAAGGTTGTCTTATGCCATATTTTGTCCCCTTATATTTTTATTCACAATTGCAGACTAGAAAATGCACCTGAATGACTTATATTTCAATTTAATTTGGTGTACTTTCTACGGTCTCTGAATTGGAGAATTTAAACTTAAGTTGTATTTAAAAGTTAAAGAGTAAGAATTGCATGACTGGGACTTGGTGACCTGGGACCTTGCAAATTAGATTCACTTTCTGTTATTGCTTATGACCAATGTGTCCTGATGTCCCTGTTAGTAAAATTGTGTTTCAAATTTTTTTTGATCCTCTGTTTCATGTGTAAGTTAAATTCATTGGCAGCTGTCACCCCCAAGGAAAAATGTGAACACAAGTCAAGTCCACATCTGAAGGTGTCAGGTTGCCTTCATTTATCTCCTGTCCCTGGGAGGCACACAGCCATCAGACGGGAAATTCCAGGTAACCCTGCTCTGTATGGTATTAACCAAGCAGGTGCAGATGCCCAGGCCCAAGTACCAGGGGAAGGTGCCAAGGACACCTGTCTTGTGTTCCTAGGGAACAAAGCAGCAGGTGTCACGCCCTCCCCTCCATTGCAGGGGAGCAGCAGTAGCCCCTGCACTGAGCTCCCCCAGGCAATGGTCCTGTGACTGTGTGTCCCCTGGAGCTCATCTGCTGCCCTCTGCTCACAGACTGCATTCTGGAAGCAATCGATGCCCTATCTCACTCTCTGGCCCTAAGGAAAAAAGAAAGGATGTTAAATACCCTTGTATATAAATTTATTCATACCTGTAAGGATGAGGTTGTTCAAGTTTGACCACTTTTACAAACATTTTAGTGCTTTAAAGTAAGTGACACCTTTAACAATAGTTTAGGAATTTTTCCAGCTGAGCCATTTGTGCTACCAGAAAGACAATGTGACAAACTATATAATTGTGATGAGATTACATATCTATATGTCTAAGATACATTCAGTGAGAAAAAGTTAATCAAATGCCAACGGATGGTTCTATGTGTAATTTCATGGGTTGATTTTGTATATGTGCTGCCGAAAGGAATGCTATTTTTATATTTTGAAGCACAAAAGAACACCACACTAAATATCATCAGGTGATAATGTTGATGTGTTTATTAAATGCAATTAATATTTCTTGTAAGCCCTTGCAGTAATAACAGCTTCAGTGAATGACAAAGAAAGATGGAGTATCTGAGATCATTTTATTATCTCTGCTTTACAGGTCATTGCATTCAGCCTGGAAAGGTTAGATCATCTGCCTCCAATAATCATCTACTTTTAGTGGAACCTAAACCAAAATGCAAGCATTTTCCCTTGCAGTCCAGCAATGACCCCCATGGCCACTTTGTTACCATTCGCATTTTCAGTATCACATTTTAATGGAAGCAGCCAGTGTTTCCTGAGGGCCAGCAGCACTGCAGACTCTTTGCTTAGCCCCTCACACGGATCGGACCCCATGGTGACTTCTGTCACTCTCGTGTTCACAAGAGGAAGCCGAGGCTGAACATTAGTGATTGTCCAAAGAAACTTGGATCATATACAGCCCAGTATTCCTACCGCTCCTGAAATGGCTTTTGCATGACATTGGACTTTGGTTGTACATAATCAGGAAACTTTACACATAAGAAGGCCGGCTTCCCAAGGAGCTGGAAGCTGCAGTCAGAGGCTGAGCCAAAGGTTTCAGCTTTGGCTTTTCACTCTTTGGGTAGAGTCAGATCATGTTCTTAATACGTCAGATATTATGACAATAAGTTGTGTGCTGTCAGTGTGCCAGTGCTGTGACACACAGTTACACTAAGTTTTAAGTGTCAAGTGAGTGATTTTGCCCTCACATTTGCATAAGAAGCAAATTGAGGTAAATACTCCAAACAAATTGAAATGGAAACACTTAAACCATGCATGAAATGAAGCTCAGGTATTATTTTAATGAAGAATAAATCAAAGCTGCTGCTTCTTTAATCTCCAGAGATGTATTTCATTTTATTCTGTTGGTGAGGTGCAGAAAATACAACTAACTTCACCATAAAATGTTAATTATATTTTTAATTATAAGATTTAGCTCAAAGTACTTTATTATGGTTTTTAAAAACTCAAAAGAAACTACAGAACATTTAAAAATAAAAATTAGCATGTCATCTACTCAGAAAAATAAAATAAGGAGCTGTCACCTTTGAGGTGATAAAACTAAGGACCAAGGAAAGTCAATTGCCTTGGTCTGAGTTACCTAAGGCCAGTGGCAGACTCTGGGTTATGACAGGATTCAGGGCTGCGGTCTTCGAGTGGCCTTGTCTTCTGTTTCCCATATGAGGACATGTAGATGGCTATTTGAAATAGGAGAGTCTCATAAAATAAAGTGATACAGGAATGAGGTACATTGTAAGATAAGAGAGCAATTGTAAATCCCTTACATTGTTCATAATTAAAAACTATCGATTGACAAGTTAAGCTGGTTTTGAATAAGATCTTAAAATGTAAAATTGTCCCCAAGTTTAAGTCCCCATTTCATAGAGTACTCTGCAGATTTATAGTAATACTTAGAAATTCCACAGGCCTTTTTTATTATTTTGATAGAACTTGGCAAACCCTAAAGCGTATATGGAAATTCAGAGGACCTAGAATAGCCAAACTGATTTTAAGAAAGAAAAATAAATGTAAAAAAATGTATTCCTCTCATTTCAAAGCATAGTATAAAACTACAGAAATCAGGACAATGGGATATAGGGATACTGGTTTGAAGATGGGCATATTGATCAAAGGAAAAGAATTGGGATTAAGAAATAAATCCTTGTATTTGTGGTCAATTAATTTGCATTAAGTTGTCCAGAGTCCTAGTGTAAACAGGATAGGATTTCGTACTGAACGGTGCGTGGACAGTTGGATAGCCACATGTGAACATCACTTAGATCTGCAGTAGCACCTAGACTTACTAGACACTTACCCAAGTGATACACAAAAATGAAGTAAAAATAGATTATATACTTATATGTAGTAGCTTTTTTCAACTGTGGAAGTATTATAAGAAAATAGAAAAATCTTTATGACTTTTGGTTAAGTGAACAGTTTTTAGACCCAAAAGTAAAAGCAAAAGGTCAAGGATACAGCTCAGTGGTATAGCACTTGCCTGGCAAGTATGAGATCCTAAGTTCGATTTCCAGCACCCCAAAAAATAAAAAAATAAATAAAGCATAATCTATAGAAGAAAAAGATGATAAATAAAACATCAAAAGTCAAAAATAAGTGTTACATACTGAGCACCTTCATTAGAATTTGAAAATACAAGCAAGGAAAATAATTTGAAATTGAGACAATATATGTATAAAGAATGAGACAATATATGTATGAAGAATACACCTTTAAAGATAGCTAACAAGTAAATAAGAGGACAAAAGCTGATTTTTTTTAGGAAAGGAGGAGAAATTTGAGTGACATTTAACCCAACTAGATACAGGAATACCTAACAAGCACATGACAAACGACACACCATACGTCAGAAGTGACATGAAGCTAAAACTCAGTAAGACCCCACTGCACCCCACCGTGAGCAGCAATAACAAGAAGACAGAAAATAGGCAGCACTGGTCGAACATGGAGAAATGAGAAACCTGGCTTTGGAAAACAGTTTGGCAGTTTCCTCAGGAGACAAATGCAAATGTACCCATGAGCTAGCAATTTCACTGCTAGGAGCACACCATGGAACAAAGGACCCGTCAGTGCAAAGACTGCAAATTAATGCTCACATCGGGAGTAGCCATTCTAACAAAATAATCTGCATATTCACTAACTGGTGAATGGACAAGAAAAATGTATTCTGTCCATACAACGAGACATTCTCCAGCAGAAAAAAGAATAAAATACTAACAACTACCTCATAGGTAAGCGGGGAAGACATAGTGCTCAGTAAGAGAAGCCATCTGCGAAAGACTGTATGTGTCTACATTCGTAATCAATGAATAGAGTGCACCAGTTCATAAGTATCTGTAAAGTAGAGCACAGGTTCCCCTGAGGTTGGAGACAGGGGAACAGGCAGGGCAAATGGGCTCCAGGGGACTTTTGGGAGTGGTGGAAATGTTCCAAAATTGGATTGTGGTGATACATGCACAAATCTGTAAGTTTACCAAAATCATTAAATTTTGTACTTAAAATAGATGGGCTTTTGATATGTACATTACACCATAACGAACTTGCAAAATAGGTTTAATTTTTAAATACAAGATTCTATAGGGAAAGAAAGAAAAGCCAGGCATGGTGGCGTAGTCTTAATCCCAGCCTTCTGGGAAGCTGAGGCAGGATAACCACAAGTTGGAATCAAGTTTGGGTGCCTAGTGAGACCCTGTCTCAAAATAAAAATATGCAAAAAAGGGCTGAGGGTGCAGCTCAGTGTAAAGACCTTAAATCCTCAGTACCAGGGGGAGGGAAAGAGCAAGCAAGAACGTGCTTATCCTAACGCAGACAATTTACACCATATGTGTGTTTTGGGGTCCAGGGAGGTGGGGCGATAGGAGGGAGACGGTGGGAAGGGAGTCGCTCTAGAGGAGAGGCCTGGGCTGAGAGGAAGTGTGAAACACGCCCCATCCCCTCCTGCCCGCTGTCTCCGCCTCCTCTTCCTCCTGGGGTCCCCCACACGTGCAACCGCACAGGAGTCTGAGTGGAGGTCGAAGAGGTCGCTTCATATTTTCAAATAAGAGGCCCAGCAGGTTGGCCTTGGCACTGACATCTGAACTCAGGTGAGACGTACAAGTCAATCAAGATGAGAACACTATTTAAACAGATATGTATCAGTCTGTTAAAGAAAAAAAAGAAAACCAGCTGGTATGCCATATACTTGATTAATATTTTTAAGTCATTAACATGTAAACAGTTTCCTCATTTGTCATGTTTGTTTTTGTGGGATGTGACATGAAGAACACATACTATACATATTACAAACTCTCTAAGTGACCTGGAAGAAACTTGAAATATCTTAGACATGGGGTCTAAAACTTTAAATATTACATGGCATACCCTGTGAAAATACAAAATAATATTCGTTTTGCCCCTAAAACATTTTGAGAAGTTTCTCTCTCTTTCAAGTTTCATTGTTAAAAACTATGAAAAAAGCAATTGAAAATGTTAATCTAAAGGCAGAGAAATAAAAATAGAAATATAATGGAAAGAATAAGAAGGTCCAGGAGCTTGTTCTTCAAAAATACCTTCAAACCAGCAAGAAATAATAAGGTCCAAGGGCTGAGGAAGACAACAAAGAAAATATATACAAAATTAAAAATACCTAAATACAGGTAAAGAAAACACTCCAAGCAACTTCTGCATCAAACCCATTTCTACACAGGGAACCCTCTCAAACTGCTGGAGCGTTTGAGACTTCAGACTCAAGTAAGCATGGATCAAAAAGTAATTTTTAAAAATAGCGTCTGTATGAACATGTATGATTTCTTCTTTTTTTGGTCGCTAATTCCCAAGCAATACAGTGCAACAACTGTTTACAAAGCATTTGTGTTTTATTAGGATTTACACAGTAATCCAGAGGTGGTTTAAGGTACTTGGGAGGATGTACTTATGGGTTGCCATAGGAGATTGTAAAATACAGTGAATGTTTAAAAAGTGTTAACAGTGAAAGGCACAGAGCCAGGAGTTCCCCTCGGCCTCCCTCCCCTTGCTTTGGACCCACTTACCCCAGTGTTTTCACCCCTTTCTGAGGTGATTCTGAAAGTCTTCTTTCACGTCTACAGGAGATACAATGGAGAATATAATGAATGCTACTGCCCGGCAGCATCCCACAGAAAGGCAGCTCGAGAAAACACGACGCTGCATCCTCATCCGCCTCACTCGCTGAGCCTGGCACTGTGTGACTTCTGTCCTTCCCCAAAGTGAAAAGGACCACGAAAGGTA